ATTATGCAGAAAGTTCTTTTCCTACATGAAGTACAGACAAAAGCATTGATAGCAAGCTTATTTTTAGAGTCTATACTATATATAAATACAATGTGGATATAATTTATCTGAAAATCTAAATACTTTGGTATCCTGATACAACCCTCTTTGTTTTTTAGTCAGAATTTTCTGTCAAGTAGAACCTATTCAAGTATATTTATCTATAAAGACCTCTTAAAAGATAGACCTCCAGGATGAATTTGTTGTGGTGTGGCAAAACACAGTCAAAGGATATGAGCTCCCTCTTCCTTCTCCTATCTTAAATGAAGATTTCCCAAATATATTCTTCTATATATTTTTTGCTAAAGACACCCAAACCACGAATGTTTATCTCTGATGGAAAAGAAATGAGGTTTCAGGTAGCCAAAGCCCCAATTTCTTAGACACTTTGCTGGCAAAAATGCTAGGTCATGGACATCACTCAAGAAAGTTGACCATTATTTTCTTAAACACTGAAGAAGTACATAACCCCTCAAAAGTTAAGCCAATTGCTTTCTTAGTATCCTACGGAAACACAACATCATCCTGAACAGGCCATATTCCTCACACTTTACTTGTTTCTAACTGATAATATGAATGTACACTTCCAATCCACCACAACCAGAGATGGGTAGCCAAACAATCCATGTTCACTTGTCACTTGTAACAATTTACACAACTGTAAAATTTACCTCTCCAGTTCTGCAATCTTCTTGTCCTTGTCATTCTTTTCATTCTCCACCTCCTTGAGGATCTCCAGCAACCGGTCGACTTCTGCTTGGGCTTTGCCACACTCGTCACGGTAGTAAGATGCCTCTTTATCAAGTTGTTTTATTCGGTCTGCAAACTCAGGGTTCATCCTGGAGTCATCTTCAATATTATGTGCCTTCAACATTACATTTTTAAAGAATGCCGTTAAGACAATTTAGAACAATAGATAGTGCAGTCACCAATGGCCCAGAAATTAACTTTGGAGAGAAAATATCCACCAAGAATTATGGGTATATTGTCAGTGAAAAAGGCAAAATGAAAAAAAACCCACACATTTCAGCTACCTTAGAACAATGTTGATTTTAATTGATATTATAGTTTAGCAAGAAAGTTTCTTTTATTATGATATTTTATTATATGAAATGTTACTGCTTTTGGCTTTCCATTCTACCAAAAAGTATGGGATGTGTGGGGTTAGACACTGTAATGCCTTTTATTCCTGGTCATTTACCAAGCAAAACTAAGACAATTAAATGCTCCATAGTTAAGGAGGTGATTCGCATCAAATGCTTTCATTTTTAATGAAGAGACGCTGAAACAGCACAATACTAAATTATTTTTCAGGAATTATCCAAAGCATAAACCAGGTAGCATATAAGGGACCAGCTGATCATTGAGCACTTCATCCCACTGAGAAATTTCAGCAGAAGACATAGTTTGAAAACAGACAGTGGAAGGGCTTTCCCAGCTAACAGTTATACCCATAAATTCTTGTGCTCTTGAATATATTTAACCTAAATTGGGAGGAGGATGAGTTAATTCATGAACAAGCACACAGACAAGAATCTGCAAATACATGCATGGGTGGGTGGCAGCTTTTACACACAAGAACAGACACAGGCAACAACACGGCAACAACACTGCAGAATAATTTGCAGCCAAAGTATTTGTGGTTTTGTGTGTGTAAGAGTGCGTTGTGGCTTTTTTTTCCCAAAATAAACTTTTGGCTGAAATATTCCCAGACAAGTAGAAATAACACTGCACTGCAATGTTTTGCCTACCCCTTGTTTCCCATTATTCCTAATTGACTTCTTCAAAGAGCAGGCAGGGAAAAAACAAGTAGTTTAACAACAGTGCACATTCAACATAGAAAGTTTAGAGAAGTCATATATATGTATGTCTCTCCAAAATCCACGTGTGACGTAACAAAATGTTAACAATTTATTAGGACTTAAGTTGTTCTGCTGTCTCATTGTGTAGAGCAGATGCTTATTGTGATTTTTATACACCTTTTCTTTTAATTTCAGGGAAAAAAACAAGGCAAGCAAGGTACAGCTACTGTGGGGTCAAACGAATCATGCATGGTTAAAAAAAAATACTAATACTACTGTTAGAAGGTTGACAGTCTTTGCAATGATTTAGTAGAAAAAATTCAAAAATTAGTATAAATAAAATAAATTTACTTATGACAAAATAATCATTTTTAAAATAATATTTTTGCATGTAACATATTATTTAAGCATGAGGATAAAGGGGAATAATTTTCTTTCATGTTCTTAAATCTAAGATTTCCTTATTTAGGAAATAAACAACTGTGCAAAAGGACTTGAGAAAAAATATATCAGTTCAACATTCTATCAGGTACTGGTTTACTCTCTCACCAACGTTTCTCAGAAAACACTTGTTTTTACTTATTTAGTATGTATTCTGCATTTCATTATAATAGATTACTGAACCTTTTCATTATAATTACAATAATCGGAAAGACCATCCTGAGCTAATATGCTTTTGGAAGTTCATTCATCTAATACTTTTATTTTAAACTGAAGTAATAGATATTTAAATGTCCTAATCTCCACTTTAAAAATGTAGAGCAGATATCCTGTTTTAAAAGAAAGTAACTACTCCATATACCTACTTCATTTGCAATAATAAGAATCAACTCGTTACTTTTGTGATAGAAAGCATTTAAAATATACAGTTTTTAAATAACCAGGGAAGAACACTTTGTGTTAACCTCCTTATCACTTTTATACTATATTACCATTATCTTATGGAGGCTAGAAACCTTTTCATGACATTTTTGGAACTAGCCAACCAATGCCATTATCATCTTTAAAAAAGATGATGAGCAGTTAGAAACACTCAAAATAAATGAACAGATATATATGCATTTTGATTGCTCATTTCTGACTAGAGTTAAAATTGTTTTACTAACACTGATTTTTGAAAGTTCACAAAGAGCTAGCAGTTAGCTGCTGTGGTTTATTTTGGTTGTTTTGAGTCTTATGATTATTACTACCCTTATTTTTTTAATAAGTGGGTACAGGATTACTAGTTGTGAGACCTAGATTGTAAATCTACTACTGCATCTTATGTCTATGAGAAATGAATTAGCCTCTCTAAGAATAGTGAAAACTAAAAAATGACATACCTGGGAAGATATTCATTTGTGTTCTTATTACAATTATTCTTTTATAATATACATCCTAGAAATGGAGCTTGTTATAAAACTAAGTTACTGATTTTCATCAACAAGATCTACATACCCCTTAAAGAAGCCTCCTTGTTAGGTTTACAGAGAAAGTATGGTCTTCTACTGATAGGTATGTGCTCACATTCCTTATTTTAGCTCCTTGAAGAAAAGAAAATAATCCAAGGCCGGTTTTCAACATTGAAATTAGATGGGTTTGTAATCTTTTCAACCCCATAAGTGATTGTGGTTAAAGGACTCATGGTATGTTTAGAGGTACAGAAAGTCTACGAAGAATCATGCCCGAGTCCAGACTATATCACTGCTGACTTCATGTAATGCTGACATTTGGCCATGTTATTAGAATGAAGACCATTGCCAAGTTTACAGCTGGCCTCGTGTCTCTTAGATAATACTTGTGGTTGCTAATGAGTCTTCTTTTTAAGTGAAGAGACAACCATAAGAATATCTGTGAGTTAAATATCTGTTTCTATTTCTCTATTTTAAGAATCAACTCATTACTTTTGTGACAGAAAGCATTTAAAATATACAGTTTTTAAATAACTAGGGAAAAGCACTTTGTGTTAACCTCCCTATCACTTTTAAACTATATTACTATTATCTTATAATGTATCAGTATCTACTGATATCCAGGCAAAAGAATTTATGTCAATCTACCCTCAATCTTGAAGTCAGAATCCTTGGAAGGACTATTAAATAAAGGCATAAATAGATACCATTTTTTAAAAATTTTAAGTCAACAGAAAGCTTTAAGAAAAAGACATACAAAGATAAGAGAGGGCTGGGCTCAGTGGCTCAAGTCTGTAATCCCAGAACTTTGGGAGGCTGGGGTGAGAGGATTGCCTGAGCTCAGGAGTTCAAAACCAGCCTGGGCAACTTGGCGAGACCTCATCTCTCCAATAAATCAAAATATTAGCCGGGCATTGTAGCACATGCCTGTAGATCCAACTACTTGGAAAGTTGAGGAGGTTGGATCACCTGAACCCAAGAGGTCAAGGCTGCGGTGGCTGTGAGCGTGCCACTGCTCTCCAGCCTGGGTGACAGAGTGAGACTCCAACTCAAAAAAATAAGAAATAAAAAGTTAAGAGAGTATCAGCTGCTTCTTGGATTACTAGGGCCATGAGAAGACTCAATGAAAGAGAGAGTTTCACATGACTAGGAAGTCTGGTGGGTCCCCAACTAGATACTGGGGACAAAAGTCTCCACAGAATTTATAAAAGATATTGTAGATAACCAGCTTTAGTCAACCTAAATCACAACTTCTCAGTGGTTGGGTTGAAACTCTTAACCAGTATAACATGAGTGTGTTATGTCATGATCTACAGACATGGGGGTGATACTATGGTAAATAAAACGCGGGGGAAATCGAGCTTATAAAGCCAGTGCTTCCTTCAAAATTATAAACCCAGAGCCTCCTCTAAAAAAAGGAGTGAAGGAAGCACCTTATTTTTATTTAGGCAATACTCCTGCCTTTTCAAATTATAACATGAGTTCTTTAATCAGCACTGGCAACTCCTGATGGAGATCAAAAGTAGGTAGCAAACTGAGGTCTAACATTCTTTAGATATTGAAAATAATAGATTAATTTGAATAAATTTATAAATTGTCCACCTATCTTCACTAGTCAGGAATCTAAATCTTAAGAACGCAGATAGGTGTGAGTTTTCTTTTAATGTTTTCAGAATTTATTTATTTTATTTACATATTTATTAATATAGCCCAGAACAATCACTTTCAAGGACATTCACTGGTCACTAAAACCAAAGGAATATCAAAAAACCTTCTTTTCTTAATGCAGACATTTCATTTTGCTGATTAAACAGGTCAGCTCAAAGGAAAAAAATCTAGGTATCAGGTTCTGCCTGAAAATATTTCTTGAAACGTTTAGAGCAACTCTTCAGCATCTCAAAGAAACACAGAAAACTGGGTAAAGGACATTTCAGAAATATCTGTATTACATATTAGATCAGTAAGTTTTAAGGGACTTCCAATTATGTTTCTTGTATTTCCATATGTAAGGAAATTTCCCCACAAATGGGAATAATCAAAACAAAGTTTGGAGCCTCACTGATGTGGGCAAGCCTCAGCATTTTGATGTCAACTGACTTTGAAAGCCTAGATCAAGCACAGAGAGGAATCTGGTCATGACTTATGATGAGCAGTACATTACAATACCTAGGCGTTAGTTTAAGGAAAGAATTTAGAACTATTTCAGGAAATAACGCAAAATCTCAGATTAATACTATAACTAAATCAAAGTTAAAAAGCAAAAAGTGGCTAAAGTCAAAGTAGGCAGTTGACAAGTATCTAAATCACACATCACAAGTTTATTTACACTTAGTCTTATAACGGTTTGCAATTGATTATTTTCAATAAAATGCTAGTTCATCATTCCAGATGCCTAGAAAGGAAAGCATTAACTCTGGTCCAGAAACCTGCTGTGCAACAAGGCAGGGAATATTCAATGGTAGTATCATATAACACTATCCCTTTGAAATGAGCCCTACCAATTTTAATAAAAAAAATCATTTCCCTCAAAATAAACAAATGATTAGTCATGACCATAAAGTACAAGCAGAATGTTAACTAATGAATCTGATGACTTTTCTTCCCTGCTGCTTCTGGGTTTTAGCAATAATTTGCTAATTTATGCACTGTAAAAATATGATTCTTGATGGCAG